TCTCTCTCTCTCTCTCTCTCTCTCTCTCTCTCTCTCTCTCACACACACACACACACACACACACACACACACATACGAGTGATCACATTACGCTACAACTTTGCTTAAGAGCTAACTAGTGCACGAAACGAACTCAAGCTGTGCCATGTGACACACATTGGTCACGCAAATTGCCCCGAAATTCTCTGTGCAATGTTGGCTTGATCATCAGGCCAATAGAGGTGACCATATAAGGGAGGACATACGTACGTCGCAGTCAACCAAGTGTGACACCAATGGTGAAAGAGCATCATCAACAGCAAACATCAAAACCTGACAATAGATGTTTTAAGTGTGAACAACAATTGAATCCCAAATGCCAGCTATTCATATGCTGGTCTCATACTTCATACGCAGTCAAAACAGTTGAATAAGAACGTAAGTCATTCTTACAAGATCCGAACTCCAAACACCTCCTTTCCCATTAAACGAACTCAGTCCGGAGCAGAACTACATTTTTAGCAGGCAAAGCAGAAACACAAAGACCTGCCGTCTTCACCTGAATAGAACGCCCGGTCATTATCGCTGTATGTAGACTGAAAATTGCACCAAATATGGCTATAATGAAGCACTTTATTCCGGTGAAGACGGTAGTAACAGTACTGGTAATGTATCGAACGATTATGAAGAAAAGCGGCGATGGCCCTCATCACGACAAGGTTCAAAACTCCACAGTTGAACCACATGTTGAGCACATAAGCGGCTCGTTAACCAACACTTGGATGCGAGTACAGCTGTAAGTTCATCAACACAGTGAGGTACAGTTTCTATTTTTATAAATTTTATCAATATACATCTCTTTCAGTCCTTGCAGATAACATGTTTCTCCTTTTTATTTTTGGTCTTTGATTTGCTTGCGAAGTGAAGTCATTGCATCATCGACTCACCGGTCACGCAGAGGTCCCTGTGCACCTTCTTTCCTGACACGTGGTCCGCTGCTGGGACTGGGGTTGCAGCGTCGACGGAATCCGGACCATCCGTTGTTGATACGTCATTCCTTGGTGCCGCTCTTGGGCGGCTTATACCACCAGATCTCTGCTCCTCCTGCACTCTCTCGCATGCGGCAGTAAAATTCGGCGATACAAAATTGGACAGCGTCGACTTGGCTAAGGCGCTCAGCCCCAACGGCGAGCGGGATGACGGCGATGTGGATACTGCTAGCAACGCAGGCTTCGATGCCCCTGAGGATTGCACCGAGCCAACGCCAGGGAGAGACGACGATAGTGAGGACGGAGACGATGGTAATGGTGATGACGGCAAGTCTTTTTCCGCAACTGGCACTGGCAGTACAAGCGTAGGAGCCGAAGCAGAGCGTAGTGATGGCTCGGTGCCCTGATTGCTTGAATGCTCGAGACTTTGCAGAGAAGGGGTTGAAGATGAAAGGGAGGAGGAATGTGACAGTGGAGAGTCTGAGACGGGAGGGGGTGTTGAGATCTTTCCAGCTGATAAGACGTCGTCAGCAGGCGAGCTGCTGGAAGTCGGTGGACCAGGTGACTGCGAACTCGCCAATTGTTCCACATCTCTGCAGTCTGCTGATTGAATGCCAGAGGTGTCGGAGAATGCAGCTGCAACGACTGCGCAGCTACAGACCCCAAACAGAAGCCAGGTCGAATGTTGCGATTGGAGCCACCTAGCTGGGCGCGCATCCCATGCCGCATTCCAGGACCCATCCCTGGCAAACACACCACAATTAGAGCTGCTGCAGATGCCTTTCCTGCCACATGTCGCATGCAGTTCATCTCCTATCCCCCTGCTGCCTGACGATACCAAGCCGAGATCGGCACCAGAAGGAGCAGCCGTCGATCTTGATGGAGTTGCGACGCTGCTGGCAGGACTGGTGACCACGGGCGGTAGGATGCGGTACCCACTGAGATGAACGGTGTCCGTCAGTGGCGAGTGGAATGGACGTACTGCATGCCATATCGTCGGCAGATCGGCACAAGAGTGTTGAGTGTGAGAGAGAAGACAAGTTTGTAGATGCTGACAGGTGTCCGTTAACGGCTGTCTTGCGGGAGGCAACCGAATCGGCGAGCAAAACTCATGGGTACAAGCCGATCTCCGGCTGCTGACGTGGAGGTTCCTTGCTATGCCTATCCGCTTCCGCGCTTGGGATCTGCAACAGTCCGACTGTTGGGAGAAATCTCCAGCCGTGCCCGCTACTACTGATGACGACGATGTGGAATGCAAAGTTGGGGCGGCGACAGCCATAGCAGACGAAGACCCACTGAGGGACACATGGGACGACAGCCGTGTGCACACAGATCCTACTAGCATATGCGGATACCTGCACACAACCATAAACAGCAGTTGTTACTTTGTTCGCTTTTCGTTGTCATCAGTGCTGAGCCTTACGTCGCAAGCTATTGCCTTATGTTGCAAGCTATTGCCTCTTCATATCAGAACAAGGGGCTAGGTCCCACTTGCATGGATTGAGACCTGGTAGCCGCAAATACCGAAAGATTGACACCCAAGATCTCTTAATCCGTGCAAGTGGGACCTTGCCCGTGGAGGCAGCAAAAGAGGATCACAACAGCCATTTCAAAATCTCACAAAAGGAATCAAACCCAAAAAGTGACCTGTCCATCCGTCAAGGACGCATGAACGTAGCCAAGAAGCTAGGACCGTTGCACTCTCGCCGGATTCACAAATTGGTTCATTGATACATCTTCCTTGCCCTAACATTTGCTGCCTTCTCATATTATACCTGTGTACATGCTGTTTATGGTTCTGTGCAGAGTGCATGCGGTCTTTCGCATTCCATTTGCAAATGTCTGCCCCAAAGAAGAGCAGAAAGCACAATCCCTGAGAGGTGAGAAAAGGGGAAAAAGTTGAAAAAATCAATTCTGCAACCAGACTGTGTAATCGGTCTTTCACCAACTCGTCAAGAAGCTGAACCCTGACACTCTGCAAATCCCATTACCAATGCTTCCCGGACAGTCTGCAAATCCCATACCGACGCTTCAAGCCGAAGTACATGTAGGAGTCAATAAAATTAAATCAAGTGTTTCCTCTTTATTTTTCCTAGTTATATTTTCTGAAGTTATTAACGAAGAAAACATTTCTGAATCCAAAGTAGCTCCAGTTTATGGAATGAATGCCTGGTGGCTCATTCATCTGTCCATAAACTAGAGCTACTTTGGATTCAGCCCAGAATCAAGGCAGACTATCATTCACCCACACCTGACGCAAGGCTGAGAAGACTGTCAGTTCACACCTCCAACAGTACATAGATCTTTTGCAATTCCTCTCCCCCCCCCCCGCCCCCCACCTCTCTCTCGCTCTCTCACACACGCACACACCCAACAATACATAGATCTTTTGCAATTCCCCTCTCTCTCTCTCTCTTTCCCTCCCACATAAATCAAGCACGCCCGCCGTATGGAAAATCGAAAAGATACGTTTTGTGATCATTGCATTGCAAAAACGGGTCTGACTCAATAGTTGGAGATGGCAGTGTGGAAATGCGAGAGTAATTGGCACAGTGACTGTGAAAACTGTCAGGTCAAGAGCACAGACTCAACCTAAAAAAGGAGAGAGGACAACCACATAGAAACACCACAAATTCCTGCTGCAAAGCGCAGAAAGGAAGGAAAAACAGCACACAGAAAAGAACTCCTGTTCCACCACAAAGGATGCATCAATAACCTCTGTGAAAACTGGCAAGTTGAGAACATCATCCCGTTTGAATTCGAAGGGGTTTGCTAGATTGATTGATGCTCCTGAGGCTTCTTTTGTGCAACAGCACAGTTGCGATCACAGTTTATAGAGGATAAGCCTGCAGAGGAAGGGGGGGGGAGAGAGAGAGAGAGAGAGAGGAACTGACTGCTTGACCGGGACCTGGACACCATAAGACACCCCCAAGGTCCAGACCATTCCTGCCCAGCAGGCTGAATCTTGAACCTGACTGAAGTCCCACTATGTTCACCAGTGGGGCCCGGGGCTAGAACCAAGACCCCCCTGCCCCAGGGCGCCCTGCTGGTGGTTTAATCCGTTAAACTGCCCCCTTTTCCCTCTATGCAAGGCAAAGAGGCAGCAAATTGAGGCATGACAAGACTATCGACTATGACGAGCACAGCACAGCCATACACTCGGGACAGCAGGTGGTAGATGGGCTGGCCCTGAGCGAAATAGAAGCCACACTTTCCACTCCATAGCGCCTAGACTACTAACGAGACAGCGTGGTGCTCTGACGACGACCCGAAACCACACCATCCATGTGGGACAGCCGCAGGATCAACATGGCACAACAGGTTGTAGATAGGCCGGGGTGAACGGCTGAAGAGAGCATAGGCACAGCAGTAGAGCTCTAACACTGTGTCAACGTATGCATACGTGATTGCAAAGAGAGAGAGAGAGAGAGAGAGAGAGAGAGAGAGAGATGAGTGCACTTAGTGGGTTCTGGTTCATCATTGACCATGAGAGAGAGAGAGCGAGAGAGGAGCATACTAAAGCGGGTTCTGATTCAACACTGATCGCTTTGTCCCAAACTTGCACTGAGAGAGGACATGCTTGCATTTAATAAGCTCAACCATCCCTGAAGACAGCCTGGGAAGTCTATTGAGTCTCGCCCCACCACTCCACTACTTTTGTTTCCACGACGTCTTCGAGAGTGAAGCTCAGCTCCACCAACTCTGAATTTGGAACTCAAAAAAATTGATCGAGAATTTGAGAGTGGTGAGAAGGATTCCTTCAAGAGGATTCCTTCGAGAGGATTCTCGAGAAATCAGGTCTTCAACCTGCCCACCGCTCTCGATTTCGAGAGCGAGGCTGATTTCCAGAGTAAGGCTGACCACAAACTCTCGACTTGGAACTCAAAATCAATCGAAGTTACTCTCAATGATATAAATCGATCAGCTATTACTCTTCGATATCCTTTGTAAGTGAGATTCCTTCGAGAGGACTCTTAAAACTACTCAGCTTGCACATTCTCTGAAAGTCGGGGCACCTCGGTCGGACACCTAGATTGCCTCGAAACTTGGAACTCGACACCCGTTGGCACCCAGCAGCTGTCAATTATTTTCTCATCTTTGTCATGCTCACCCTTCGTCCCCAAATCTTCGTGTTGGGACCCACTGCAGCTGGTCACTCTCAAAAATCGAAGGACCTTGGTCAGACCCCTGGAGAGCCTCAAATTCCGACGAGAGTCGGCCTCGTGTTGGGACCCAGCTGTCAAAGGTTTTTCTACATCATCATGTGCTCCGAGTCATTGTGCGAAAGTGCGAAAGTCGAAAGTAGGTACCGCAAGGACACCAAAAAGTGGTTAATATTCAAACGTGGATTTTCTCGAGTCTGACATCTCTCGACCTACCCTCCGTTTTCAACGGGAATCGAGAGTGGTGGAGCAACGACTCGGCGCCTCCCCTCCACCACTCACCACATGTGCAAAATAAGAATGAATCTTCTGCTATAACATGGAAAGATACACGCCCCAAATGTGCAAAATAAAAACACCACATGTGCAAAATAAGAATGAATCTTCTGCTATAACATGGAAAGATACACGCCCCAAATGTGCAAAAAAAAAAAAAAGAACGAATCTTCTGCTAGCAACGACTCAGCGCCTCCCCTCCACCACTCACCACATGTGCAAAATAAGAACGAATCTTCCACTATAACATGGAAAGATGCGCCGCCATATTTTTCGTCTTTTGTGCACGTGGGGAGTTACTGTAGTGGAGCGAGGCCCCCATTCTCTCAAGAAATGCCCGACGAAAAGTCTTTTCTTTTCCCTTCTTTTCACCCTAAATTTAGACACATGCAGACAAGATGATCCTGGTCATGATAATTCCGGAGCTGTCGTGTCTTGCTCCACCGCTCCCTGGGTCTCGCTCCACTACTCACCAAATGTGCAACAATGAGAAATTCAATGAATCTTCCACCAGAACATGGAAACATACACCACCGTATCTTTCGTCTTTTATGCATGCGGTGAGTAGTGGAGCGAGGCCGCCCTCTATTGCATTCGGAAATTGAGAGTACTAGATCGAGAGTTATCAGAGTCTGACTCAGAACTTGGAAAACATGTTTTGGCATCATCACTCCCCCTACTCTCGATTTCCAGACATGATTCTCTGTACTAATTCGCATGGAATTAGCACAGCCAGGAAATCAAATTCTAGGTGGACATCATAAATTTTAGCTTCCGAACGTCTCTCCATGCTCTGGACTCTGGAGCGCATGACAATGGAAAAAAAAAAAAAAAAAAAAAAGGAGCAGCAGTCAGCACCACTACCTTTCTCACTGCTGTGCAAGTAGGGGCCTCACTGCACACTACAGAGCACCCTACATGCGTCCTGCATTTGGACGCTTTCTGTACCAGGTGCTTCACTCTGACGTCGAGTCCAACATGATTTTGAATGTGCCAGGTCGAGAAAGCATCTAAATGCATGTAGAGTGCTGTGCAGTGCCCCAAGGCCCTAAGTCGCAAGTTTGAGCCTCGGCCGAAAAAATGGCCGCCAGGAGGCCGTCGATAATTTTAATCGGTGGCACCCGGCCCCATATATGAGAAAGGTAGTCACTGTGGTGGTTTAGGAACAAAAAAACAACAAAAAAAGAAGAGGTTCTTTAAAAAAAAGAAAAGAAAAAAAAAAGGAAAAGGGAATTTTCGAGTTCCGACTCGATAGTCTGTGGAGCGGAACCTCAGGGCATACTCACACTGGGACTGCATTAATTTACCAACTGGGTCGCCTGGGGGTCACCTTGGTTGCCCGCGCAGCCTGGCCGGTTTATTGGAGCTGAGCTGTAGGACACTCCGCACCGCACAAATAGGACCCCATATACTCTATCTATTGGGGACGCTATGGAGGGCCCTACCCCAGTATCAGCTCTGATTCATGCAGCCACTATGGTAAAAGCAGGGCCCAACTTGAAGTCCCACTAGCAGCACGCCCCTGAATCTGGACGTGTTTGTGGAGATGAGCGGTCGAGGGAACTGAACATGATTTCTGCACATCTCCACAAACACATCCAGATTCAGGCACTCCGGAAACTCAACGCTGCTAGTGGGACTTGGCCCCAGGTGTTTTCATTATGGCAAGATGTTCTCCCTTTAAGTTATTTGAATATGCATCCGAGGCTTTAATTAGCAAGCCCCTTGGAAGGTCC